GACGTATGTTGTCACCCGAAAATGGGTATATCTAATTTTGACGGCATTTTGATTCATAGCGCCCATGTAAGGACGCAAAAAACTTTAAAAACAGTGAATCTTACGCTTTGTCAAATGTGTTGAAGATTCCCACAAATTGACACATCACACAAACAGTTTTTTAATACATACATACTTTATTTTGCAATTCCCCAACTGGGCTTTTTCAATGCCATTACAATTTTAAAAGAAGAAATATAATTATCTGTGTTATGTATTACAGGTAAACTACGTGAAGCGCTCCTCTTTGGAGTTCATAACTTGATTCCAATTTTTCTCACTACCTTTGAAATTTTAAAAACTCCATTGCAAATTCCCTCATTTTCCTACATTTTCCTCAGTTCCTGTTAGAAGTTCTTAACTTCCTGGGGCCGATTGTATAAAAAAGTGATTAAAGTTAACTATAGTTAGTGGAAACGTCATCCAATAAAAAGCGCGTATTTGAGAGTTAATCACTATTTAACTACAAAATAGTGATTAAAAAAGTGATTAAGAGTTTTATACAACGGCCCCTGGTTATTTCAGCAGCGAACGAAAAAGGTCAAGGGAGGAACGCTTCGCGTAGTTTACCTGTAAAGTCTATAAAATACGTATGAAAAAAATGTGCATGCACGTAAAATATTATATACCGTTGTTGTTAAAATCGTCTATCTAGTTTCTCATCAATTTTTTGAATCGACTGGGAGATCCTGCCCGTTTAGTATAGGTAATCATGCGATGGCGAGTGCAATTAGGGATTAATAGTACGAGTGATGTTTGGAAATTTTGCCTAAATTGGACGAGCCGCCGGGGCGTGTTCAATTTGGCAAAATTCCAAACATCACTCGTACTATTAATCCCTATAATTGTACGAGCAACATCGCATGATTACGTTTTTATTATTAGCATAACAAAATTGGATACTTCTCAATGTCAACATCATATTCTCTCGCCAAAGCCCAGTCCTGCCAGACTATCAACCAAAAGTTGGTGCTTTTGTTCGTATTTTCATTTAGTTCTTTTGTTAAAGCAACATTTGGTGCTTCTGTTCGTATTTTCATCTAGATCCTATAGGACAATTTCATTTCACATTTGTATTTTGTTAAAATACCTTTCCGCCATTTTATTTGTTTTGGGAAAATCATTAATTGTATACTGCAGTACAATTAATGAAATAATTGTACTCCTCTCAACCAATCAGCATCCAGTAATTTTGTCACGCTAATAATAAATGTTGTTATACAACTTGGAGTTTATTAATGTTTGGCGCAATTGTATTGGACCACAGTGAAGAACAGTAAAACAGCTGATGGTGTCGAAAGATGAGATAATGAGGCTAAGAGTTTTCTTGTTAAAACTATCTTTAACCCTACTGATCTGACAGGAGTTCTGTGGCGCACGAGACAGCGCGCGGGATTACTAATACGTTCGTTGTACGTCAAGTGCGAGTCTACGATGACTCCTAAATCCTTTGCACTGGACACGGGATTGATTTCTTTCCCTAAGAAAGAAAGAGTCATGGTAATCGAATCTACCCTCGGCAATATGACAAAAACCGTCGCTTAATTAAAGTGTATATGACATGAAATTTCTTATTTTCTTAAACAAAAGAACTCTTTAAACTGTAGTATAACTTATTTTTCAGTTTCTTGTTTTTATGGTTTGTTCCCGAGATATTTCAATTTGTTTGGTATGTAAATGAGTGCGAATATGTCCGCTAATTTATGACATCACGTTGGCTGCAAGCTCAACTTACACCGGTTATAAATCTATTAACTCTAAAAACTGTAGATATCAGTTCACGTTTTTCTACAGTGTTTCACCACTTTTACCAGTGAGTGAAGTTTGAAATTATCATCTTGGATGATAGCAGTGATATTCAACCATTTTGAAGAGCTTGCAACAAATGTGGCGTCATAAATTAGCGGACATATTCACACTCATTTACATATCAAACATATTGAAATATCTCGGGAACAAACCATAAAAACAAGAAACGGAAATATAAGTTACACTACAGCTTAAAGAGTTCTTTCATTCAAGAAAATACGAAATTTCATGTCGTATACAGTTTAAACAGTCTTTTATTAGATCGTAGTTTGATCAGATGGCCCCTGAGCACTCTAGATGTTCAACATAGTAATGCCTTCAGGCAACAAGAATAAAACACAGTCTCATTCTTGAAGCGAACGTGCCACTCATCACTTCAAACGAAACATTAGCATGCGGACGGTTTTAAGGGGTTAGCGCGCACCCCACCTATACTGGTGCCTATAGCTGCCCCCTAGAGAATTCCAGCATCACGCTAAAAAAATCTGCTTCACCATACATTTTCTGCTTTTCGAATAGAGATTAGCCGAACTTCTACTGTTAGCGCGTGTCGATTTCTTGAAACGCCGTTTAATTAACTTGAGAGCTCACGAGAAAAGACTCATTAAATATCATGGTTCAATACGTAAACATGTCGAGGTTGTTATACAGCCATATTTTCAAATATACTGTGCTTTAACAAGCAAATTTACTGTACTGTGCTACAGCAACTGTCCAGTCACGCATACGTGATAAAAAGCCGATATAAACTTTATAAACAAAAGATATTATAAAATAACATGTATATAACGCGTATTCTGATTGGTCGAAAGCCGTGTTTGGATCAGGCCATCCAAACACGGAAGACTACCGTGTTGTTGTTATTTTATAAAACAATTACTTTATGGTTTCCGTGTTTGGATGGACTGATCCAAACACTTGGGAATGTTGCTCGAGTTAAGAAAAGCGGGCAAAATCACTCGCCTTCGGCTCGTGATTTGGCTCGCTTTTCTTAACTCTCGCAACATTCCCGCGTGTTTGGATCAGGCCATCCAAACACGGAAACCATAAAGTAATTGTATAATGTAAAACGTAACAGAACGGCGAACATGCAGATTCGGCCATCTCAAATAATGGTAATGTTGGGATAGTAGCGTTGCAGACTGCAGAGGAGAGTGGTGTTACCTTTTATAAAGATAAATCTTTGTTCCATGTTGTTCATGGGAAGGTGGTGTCATAATAGCGAGTCCTTCAACCAACTTGGGCCTCGATGAGATATGAAATCTATATTAAATATGAAAGCACATGGTACAATAGATGTTTTTATACAAGTCAACACAATGAAATTATCGAAAAGGTATCACCAGCAATGAAATTCAAGTCTCAGTTACACAGGAAGAACTCATTAAACTGTAAGAAATAAGTCATTTGAATTTCTTTATCTTTTTCGTTCTTGAACAGGACATTTTAGTTTGTTTGAAATGCAAATGAAACAAATATATGACATTGCAAGCTGGTAGTTTTCAAAGATGGTAGTCACAATGCTAATACTCTTCTAAACCGATGAAATCATATAAGTCTGTATCGAGTCATTAATTCTGGTATGAAACGTCATCTTATTTAAATATCAAATAAACTCAAATATCTTCTCACCAAAGATGTAAAAATTTTGTAAGACAACTTATTCTACGGTTTAACGAGTTCTTTCGGTCTAAACATATTTAAATTTTGTTGCCAATGCATACCCGTTAGCTAACAATGAACATACATGTCTGCTCAGTTTTAAAAAGCTCGATTCGAATCAACATTCAGTGATTCAGTTGAAAAATCAAAATTCATCACTGCAGCATGTTCGTACTATTCAGTTGCTTCAAGCATAACGTTTCTGTAGCTCAACACGATCAAAGAATAATTTGTATTTTACCTTTATTCCATCAGTATTTATGCCCTGACATTTTTCAAGCTATAAAATACATATTATTATGTCAAGAGTTTGACCCGAGAAGAACAGTTTAGAACTGATGGAGCTATCCAGTATAAATAAAGTTAGTTTAGTTTAGGTTTCCTCCTGTAGTAACACTGGATCAATAAGAGATGATCCTCACTGGACCTCCAAGAAGAACAATTTAGAACTGATAGAGCTATCTAGTATAAATAAAGTTAGTTTAGTTTAGTTTAGGTTTCCTCCTGTAGTAACACTGGATCAATAAGAGATGATCCTTACTGGACCTCTAGGAAGAACAGTTTGGAACTGATAGAGCTATCCAGCTCTAGACTTTTAGAGAGGACAGTTTAGAACAATGATATGTCAAGGTCTTTGCTCAGAGGTTAGCGCTTGTCTTCAACTTGAAACTTCAGGTGAAGTAATTCGATTTGAACATCATTGCAAGACCTGACAGCCTAAAGTTATTTTATTAAATATTAAAAACTTTGAAAAAATTATAAAGATCTGACATGAAGTACCTGATCAAGGTGTTTTCAAATGAAATACATATACTCGAGTAATGGGTTGGTGTTAATGAGCAATGGCACAGAACCTTTGTTTAACCTAAAAATCAAAATTGTTAAATTGTAATGTTTTGCTATTGCTCAGGCTTTGAGTCACCTAGTGGTTTCTAGTACAGCTCCCCCCCCCCCCCC